CACTTAGAGGCATATAGAAGTGCGTGGGGACTTAGAACCTAGGAATGCCATTAACACCTATAGGCCTTGTACAAAAGGATATTAGAAAACTACTAAGCTAGCTATAGGTGCAAGGTGCAACTAAATACATAGAGGAATAGGGGTACAGCAGAGGGCTAGGCAAAGTTAGGGCTAGGTTAAGGTTAAGGCTAATATAAGGGTCTTCTAGAGGTTCTAGGCAACCTAAGATAGAATAATTTATAAGAATTATTACACTACTCCCCCCTCTGTAGACTAATAGTCCTTATTAGTAGTAATTATAGTACAAAGTATTACTATTATGTTCTCTGCCTTCTTAAACTAAAACTAGTCTAATTTAGCTAGGTGTCTTTGCTAAGTATTTCTTTGCACTACTAGCAGTGTCCTCTAAACTAAAAGCTATGCGTGCGCGCCTACTCTAATAGTAATCTGTATAAATGTCTAGCCTGTTTATAATTAAGACCTTTATGTATTATTATCTATGCAGTTATTAATCTTAGGCGTGCGTTTAGTGTAGTAGCATTTAGGCGTTATTAGAGGTGCCTTAAAAGTCTCTTACTATTAAAGTAGCAGGGGTGATTTAAGGCATTATTAAAGGTAATTTAGTAGTTAGAGGTTAGTAGTTGCCTAGCAGTGTTTTAGTAAATTAGCTGCTTAAGCTGTGCTTATAATTAAGCATAAATATACTACTAAAGGTTAACTCTAAATTAGGCAGCTCTAGCTTTAGGTTCTACAGACGCAGGTTTAGCTATTAATAAAGTAGTAGTTAGTAGTTAAAAGTTAGTAGTTAAAAGTTAGGCATTAGTAGTTATTTCTAATTCTAATAAGTTATTAGTAGTCTTTAAGTTTCTACTTTAGCGTATTTTTTATAACTTTTTTAAAAGCAATTTTAATTACAGGGGATAAGAAGTTTTAAACCTAAAGGCTTTAGTTAATAAAAGGTCTCTAGTATTCTATTTATAGACTAAATAGTTTAATATAACAGTGTGTAAGTATTATAACCTAAACTAAATTAAACACGTCTTAGAGCTTAGACATAGTTAAATAAATAATTAGTGTAATATTATAATAAGGCTGTTACTAGTAAAAGTAAGTTTTCTAATATAATGTAACAGCACAGGCAAGACAATAGGTCTAAATGCAGTAGGAATCTACTTAGAGGCATATAGAAGTGCGTAGGGACTTAAAACCTAGGAATGCTATTAACACCTATAGGCCTTATACAAAAGGATATTAGAAAACTACTAAGCTAGCTACTGTAAAGATGGGATGGTAAGTAGCACGGATAGCACTGAGAGCAAGCTTTCGGAGAAAGATAGGAGTGTATTGTAAGAGAGACGAATCGCTGCCAAGCTTCGCTTGTCAGGATTCATGCTTATATACGAAGCACAGGTCATACGACCCCCAAACAGGTCAGATAAAACTACTAAATTCCTATATATTTAGCCCTTAGAAAATATAATAACTGTAGTTAAAAGAAGTTATTTATAAATTTAAACAAAGCATAACTTTAGTACATAGCAACCCTGCTATTATAATATCTAATTAGGATAAGTTATTTATAAGTTACTTTTAGTAGGCAGCTATAAAGCACATAAATGTAGAGCACTAGATGTCTACAGCCTATTACCTGTAGACAGACAGACAAACAGAACAACCAAACGCTAAAATAGAAAAATACTTAAAGAAATATATTTCTTTTAAATAAACTAATTAGGTAGGATAGCTTCTAATAGCCTAGTTAGCTATTAATACCTAAAAATCCTCTATAATAAAAGAAACGCTATATAAAGCTAAATTTAGCTATAACCTGTGTTTTTGCTTAGCTACTATGCAGCTACAGGATCTAGTAAAAGCTATAGAATAAACTAATAAGTTACTAAAACTACATTAGAAGTTAGCAACTAAAAGCTGTTATACTAGAATTAGAATAGAAGAACAATCTACTTAGACTAGAATACAAGCTCTAGAAATATAACTTAGAGATTATATACCTTAGAAGCTTTTATTTTATTTAAAAATAATAAATTTTCTTTTAAGTATTTTACTATTTAATTTTAAAGAAAAGTTAGCTGCTTTTTAAGTTAAGCTCTTTTCTCTACAGCCTTTACTTACTTTTTTAAAGCTAATAAAGCTGCAGCCTTCTACTGCTTTAATAGTTGTTTCTGTTGCTCTATCAGCCCTTTTAAAGCTACAGAGGCCGCAGTAGCCTTCTTCTGTGCTATGCAATCCTTCTTTAAGCGCGCATTTTAGATCTTTTAATAAACCTCTGCCTTCTCTTTCTTTAAACGCTTTTAAGCAGGTTTAGAAATAAAGGCATTATAGTAGCTACCCTTTTAAACACACTTTATGCACTTATCTAATAATAAGGCTAGGACACTAGATAAACTAGATAAGTGGTAAGGACTATAAGGCTGCATCTTTGTCTGTTAAAGAAGGTGTTGCGTTTACTAAAAGGTTAACCTCCTAGCTAGCACAGCAGAAGGATATATATAGACAGATAGCTGTACGCGACAGAAGGTTAAGACATTAGGCTGTAAAAGAACAGTAGATATAATTTAGCTAGCGCTTTATTATTTAGAGTTAAGAAAATAGATTTATAAGAAGCCTTTATAAAAGAGAACTTACACTTAATAAACAACTTCTAATACTTGCAGTAGTATAGACAGAGCAGCAAGAACGCTGCTAGAGAGAGAGGCCTACGTGTTATAGTCTATGGCTAGACTAGCTAGAACTGTCTAGAATTGCCCTACTCTCTTGACAAACAAAGATAAAACCTGTTTACGCTAGAATAGAAAAATCTAGTTAGTCTAGACAAGCTGAAATCTAAACCTACAGACTAACTATGTCAGATATGCGCACCTACTGTCAAGACAGGAGGAACGTTTGACGAAAGCTGCTACATAGTACGAGCAATAAGCTCGAACAGTATGTTGCTGCAAATTGCAGCATTTTGCAGCATTTTGCAGCATGTTGCAGCAAATTGCAGCATTTTACAGCATGTTGCAGCAAATTGCAGCAAATTGCAGCATGTTACAGCATTTTGCAGCAAATTGCAGCATGTTGCAAGCTGGTCGCGCATAGGGCTAGTGCGCGAGGGACTCGGATCGGCAGAACAAAAAGCCGAGCAACACGAGTAGAGCAGAAAAAGGATTAATAAATCAACACAATCAATACAATCAATCAATCATCCCATACATTATATCCAAACCCATCATTCATCTTAGGAAGCCTAGAAACAGTGCTTCAATCTGACAAACTACTTAGAGAATGTAAGATCTAATAAAAAGCGTTTACTAAAGATTATAGTAATTGTATATAAAAAAAGGATTAGTAAAGCTAAGGCCTATAATTACGGCTACAGGTAAGTTAGAATTATAAATAAAAAAACCCTTAGCAAATCTAAGGCCTACAACTACTATAAAGAAACCTTTATATATAAAGGACCTTTTAATTAACCTTTAAAAGGTGTAATTAATATTTAGTTTATTCTTTACATAGACTAAGTAGTACTGTTGCTTTATAATAAGCATAATACTATAGTGTATCTTACACTATATACACCTTCTTTTTTGTTTACACAAACTGTTTAACCTAGCGCCTTATACCGCTGTTAAGAGGCAAACCACAATCCAGCCTGTCTCCGCCTCTCCATACCCGAGTACGCTAAGGACTGTACACCTGTAGCTGGCTCCCCTATCATACACGTATCTCTAATAAGGCCCGCGTGCTTGTAGCATTCTATTAGACTCTAACAAGCAAAGATTGTAACATTAACCTTAATCTTCTTCTATTCTTCTTTTAGATACTGCTTTACCTTAGCATTAGTTTTTAAAAACCATTTTAAAAGCTTCTACTTTAGCATCTACTAAATGTTATTAATAGGATTAAGATCTAGTAAGTTTGCTAGCCACTAGGCTCTATTAATCCCTAGGTTTCTGTAGGCTTCTATAGTAGCGTACAACTTGTGTATAGAGTTATTATCTTCTATATAGCTAAAGCCTCTGCCTGTATAAGCTTTATACGCCTGCTAGTACACCTAAATGTAAGGCAGAATATGTTAGATATACACCTAGAAGTTAATAGTTTCTTTAGTGTTTATGTACTACTTCTTTTTAAAGAAAACTAGTAGTCTGTTAGCATTAATTAAGATAATACTTTATACTATATAGCTACTAAAACTTTTAAATTTAGGTATTATATAATTAGAGTGTAAAGCTTTTTTAGCTAGGTAAGTAATATATACTTCTTCTAGGCTTATTTAAGCTAACATCTTGTTAGACTAAGCACGCCTATCCTACATCTCTTCTAGCTAGCTAAGGTGCTTCTATGCCTACTTGACTCTCTTAGCTTTATTGTTCTTTGTAAGAAAAAGCTTTTATGTTACTTTACAGCAATAGTACAGCTCTTTTTTAAAGGCTTTAACTAGTATTTAGCAGTAGATGTTAATGCCTAGCTTATAAGTAATTTTTTATAAGTTTTTTTAATGTTATTTAGTGTTCTTTGTTACATAGTAAACTAGATAGTGTTAAAGTAGTGTATTTAGTATAGGCAGCTAACCTTTTAGCTTTACTAGAGTTATTGCTGATTAAAGGCAGTTAGAAATATTCTGTTGTAAGGTCTCTATCTACTTGGCAATAGCCTGCTGTGTCTACCCTAGCTTAGCTAGTGTGTAGATTTAAACACGCTCCTTGTACGTTAGTTAACATTAAGGTGTTTTTAGCATTTTTAGTGCATTACTAGGGTAGAAAAAATACATAAAATTGTATAACAGGCCTTATATAAATAATGTATTTTTTCTAGAACGTTTATGTTAATTCTATGCACAGACCATCGGCCCATGTGGCGCTACAATCCCGTTCATGAGAGGGGTGTACGCATTAAAGATTCGCCACTTCAGCATTTTAAACTAGTGAACTTCTCCGAGGACGCTAGCAGGGAGGACGGCCGACCCGTTCTGATCAGGAGCTTGCGCTGGAGGCGTTGAAGTTATTTTGGTGTGGAGGAGGAAGAGGTTGAGATAGACTTGTGGCGGGCGTAGATCGCCTCGCAACCTCCCACTCTATAGCACAGACAACAATAGTGAAATTGTGTTACTCCCACTTTTACCCCATTCTAGACTCCGCGACTCTAGGAGACGGAGGAGAAATTTGTCAAAGGCGATCACAAGCCACGATCAAAAAATATCTACTTTACTCTGACAGACTTTTGCTTGACGTATCCTCGAAGTCGGGATCTTCGTCCGCCATCCGCTTCGCGGCTCTCTCCTCTTGCTTGATATATCTTGCTTCATCACCTGAAGTAATCTCTTCTGGGGGCGTTTCTGACCTCTTCCTCTTCTTGACTCCAGGGGCAATCGAATGCTTGCCAAGTGACCCCGCCTGTTGTACCTTGCTCTCCGCCGCAGTAAGGTATTGGCAAAGTTGTTGAGCAGAAACAATTAATTCTTGATCCTGCTCCCTAATCTCATTATGTGCCAGTTCTTCGTAAGCGAAATCGCTAAGGCGGAGCCGCAGCCCTGGGTGGTCAGTGGGGTTTCCTTGATCGTCACGGAAGATCTAGTAATATTGTTAGGAAACAAAATTTACGAGACGTTTCTTTTCGAATATAGTATACCTCATCTACAACTTCTTCAACTACCCGTAACTCATCTCCATCAGCAGTATGAAACAGGTTGGTTCGCCACGTCGACAACGTCGCTTTGCGTGAGCCTTTTCCGTATTCAATATCCAGCCCGACAACAACTTGTACGCTAGCGTCCGAATCTAGAAGATATTCTTCAGCTAACCGGCCCAAATCTTTCCTCTTCTGCGAATATGCCACTTCAATTATTACACCAGGGAATTGTGCGTCGTCGTGCCAGAAAGAGGAATCCGGCTCATGTTTCGACTCCGTATTAGGCGGTGCATCGTCGACTGGAAAACGAATTTCAGTAGAACGAGCTGGGTGCACCTTATGTGCAAAAATTGCAGCGCTGTTCGATCCCTCACGAATCAGTTTCAGCTGGCTGTAGATCGCATCTTCAACACGAGCGAGGAACGATTCATGTATGCCAGACGGCATGCGTACGACAAGTCGATAACGCCGTGCGTCGTAATCATATCTACACACGTTCAATTGTTAGCCAGCGCTCCATCGGTCCTCGAGCGATCTCACCGGATTTTGTCCTTGACGAATCCAAACAGCGACTCGTCCCGCCCAAGCCGGTGCTCTAACTCGTCATACTCCCCTTTCGCGAGCTGAAATTCAGTCCACGGGTGTTGCTTCACGTGTCTTCCAGCTTGGATATCCTTGAAAAGCGCGACGATTCGGGGAGCCTGCGTGAAGGCTTTGTCGTGCGTTGGTGGAGGTGTCAAAGGCGTACTTATGAAGCTTGAGGGCGGCGTAATGTTTTCTTTTAGAGGATTGTGCAATGAAGACATAACAAAGTTTCATGTCATAGGGCGGGCTGGCATCGTGACGTTGAGTGAATGCTCAAGGGTAGTCGCGGCGAGCAGACAAGAAGTCAATCCCGCCTCAGTTGACTCAGCAACCCGCGCTCACGCTAACACACTTTTGGGTCTCTGGGATCTTGGCGGACCTGTGGCTGGAGGTTGCGCACGGGGCGTCTTAGCGTGGCGCTTACCTGCAAAACGGGGGAAGGTCCCACAATGAGGGTTTTGAAGCGGAGCGAGATCTGAATCCAGGGCCCAGAAACAAAGTCGCGTGACAGTTACGCAGGGCAACTTGAGTAACATTTTCATTCCCGTAGTACACCCCCCTTCCATGAACGGGATTGTAGCGCGCGCAGGGGCCAAGTGGCAATCGCCTGTGCAGTGGATGAGTAAGCAATGAAATTTTCTATGTAATTTACATACAAAATTGCACTAACGTACTTCACAGGTAAGTTGCTTACACACCTAAGTTGCTTACTTTTACTAAGACCCTACTAAACTACTTTTTTTATACTAATGCATTCTTAACAACACTACTTAGATGTGCTAAAAAAAAATGTTAAATATAGCTTACACTTTAAGCTTTTAAATAAAACATAAAATTTTTAAAGAAATATACTATAGCTATGTATAAAGTTTTTTAAAAGATAATAAATAACTATAGCACTAGATAACTTTTATAAGCTAATTTTATAGCTAACTTATAAAGGCTAAGTAATAATAAAAAGTAGGTAATTATTAAGACTATACTTAAGCTATATAGATAAGAATTTTTCTCTTAGATAGCATTTATAGCTAATATAGCTAATTTTTTACACGCTAAGCATAATCTAGGCTATATTAGCATAAACTAGCCTAGTATGTTTAGCAAGTGTTATTTAAAGCTTAAAGTAATATTTAAGTATAGTGTAACTATAAAAGAGCTTTTTATAAAAGTTTTTAAAGTAATTTAAAGTAAGTTTAGCTTTATAAAAAATATTAAAGCTAAGTATAGCATCTAAAATAATAATATATATAACTTTAGTAAAATAAGCTTTATTATAAGCTAAATATTTATTAACTATACTTACATTTAAAACTTTACTTTAAGCTTTTAATAACATTTTATTAACATACTAAGCTAGTTTATACTAATATAGTCTAGATTACACTTAGCATGTAAAGAATTAGCTATATTAGCTATAAATGCTATTTAAAAGAAAAATTCTTACATATATAGCTTAAGTATAGTATTAATAATTACCTACTTTTTATTATTACTTAGCCTTTATAAGTTAGCTATAGAATTAGCTTATAAAGGTTATTTAGTGCTATAGTTATTTATTATCTTTTAAAAGACTTTAAATATAGCTGCAGCAAGTTTTTTTAAAAGTTTTATATTTTATTTAAAAGCTTAAAGTATAAGCTATATCTAACATTCTTTTAGCATGTCTAAGTAGTATTGTTAGAAATGCATTAGTATAAAAAAAAGTAGTTTAGTAGGGTCTTAGCAAAAGTAAGTAACTTAGGTGTATAAGCAACTTGCCTGTAAAGTACGTTAAGTCAGCATTTACCACTTAGTATGCCTACTACCTGCTTATATAACAGCCTAGCAGCGCTTTTACATTAATTATATATACTTCTTATAGTTATTAACCTTAATATTCTCTTATTCTTCTTTTTAATACTGCTTTACTTTAGCATTAGTTTTTAGAAACTGTTTTAAAAGCTTCTACTTTAGCATCTGCTAAATGTTCTTAATAGGATTAAGATCTAGTAAGTTTACTAGCTGCTGTTACAATCCTTGCTCTGTAGGAGCACGCGGGCCGGGGAATAGTTCGGGGTGTAAAGAGGAATAGGCTGTCGGATGTACAGTCCTCAGCCTTATTCAGGTATGGAGATAGAAGGGGGCCGGATTGTGGTTTGCCCTTGCACAGCAGTATAGGAAGCGCTAGGTTAAACAGTTTATAAGAACAGAATAGAAGGTATATATAAGGCTAAATATATAACTAGTATTACAGCTTGTTAGAAAGCTGGATACTACTTAGTCTATGTAAAAAATAAACTAAACATTAATTACACCTTCTAAAGGTTAATTAAGTAAAACTATATATATATATGTTACTTTTCTTGCTAAGCTAGTAGTACCTTGTAAGAGGTTGCACCTCTTAGCAGTAATGTGCTACTAGATGCTGCAATGTGCTGTAAGGCTTAGCCCTGTTTTGTGATGACAAGCACTGTCTCTACTACTGTATAGAGCTGGGGAAGCAAGGCAGAGTAGGTCGGCTCTATTTCAGCTACACTAAGATAGAGAGGAGAAAGGGAGCTTTAAAGGCAGCTCTGCAGAAGAAGTGCTTGCAGCGCTAAGGCGCTAGCAAGGACGCTAGCGCTAAGTAAACTAATAGCGTTACGCTAGTCGCACCCCTTATATCCTAATTAGCTGCACAGGCAGCTTGTTATGTGACGCGCAACAGAGCTCTCTGCGTAGGACTGTCACATTACCCCCTTCTAAGGCAGTCTTGTCCCTAAGACTAAGTAGTTTAGCGCTTTTACATTAGTTTTTAAACTAGTTAAGACCTTAGCGTAGGTTAATTATTAACTTTTATAAGTTCTATATTCTTACCTTTTTTATACACTTGCAACTAGGCGTCTAGTCGCGCTGGCAGACTAGGCTTAGTAGGATATGCTTAGTAGAAGTCCCTTACCTTATGCAGAGCTCTAAGGAATCTGTTAGCATTATACTAGGTAGGGTTAGGATTATAGCCTACCTATAAGGCTTAGTATTAGAGACGCCTGCGGTAGACGTGACTATCTAGGATGTTCTAAACCTGCTACTTAGGGTAACTGTTAACCTTAATTAGCTCCTCTAGGGGCTTAACCTAACCTAGCAGTGTTGTAGGTGCTGCCTGCTGTAGGCAGTCTACATAGAAGATGTTGTGCATCTTTATGTATAAAGAGAGCTTAAGCTAGTACAAATAACCTCTTATGCTTATAATTAGATAAGGCCTGTACATCTGCTAGTTAAGCTTCTAGCTAGGGCGCCCTATAGTAAAGCCCTTAAAAGTTACATATACCTTATTACCTACTATAAAGTTAGGCTTATGCTGCTTTTTATTTACTTAAGCTGCTTACTACTTTTAGGCTTAAGTAATGCCCTTTCTTACAATCTTAATTACTTATTATATAGTGTTGTAGTAGAGCTTAGCATAGCTTTAAGCCTTCTTATGTAAAATCTGCTCTAGCGCAGTTAGTAAGCGTTTTATACATGCCTTCTAGTTCTAGTAGTGTGTTAGATAATAGCTAAACTTAATTTTAAACAGTAATAACTCTATTATCTTATACAGTAGAGATGCTTAAGCCTAGTCTATACAGGGCAGCAGGTCTAACTAGTTGTCCTAAAAGTAATTAACAAATAGACATAGTTGCTAGTTAATATACTAATTTAGCACCTTTATGTTGCTATTAGTCTAAAAATAGTAGGGCGTAAAAAGCTTTTATTTAACACTAGTAAAGTAGTAAAGCTTATCTATAAATATAAAAGTAAACTATAGTCTATAGTTAGAAATAATTAATTAAGAGGGTCTATAGACACGCTAGATATAGCAATAGTATAGGTCTGCAGCCCTTACAGCAGTAATAGTCTTATAGCACAGCAGTAAGAAGCAGCACTTGCTTAGATAGTCTACTATAATAAACACATTATTATAGCTAGCTTAATTAAGTAAAAATAACTTAAAATTTATAAAAATGTTTTACTATACTTACTTAAGTATTAGTAGTAGCTTAAAAAGCTTTAAAGTCTTATCTTAAAAAATATAGCTCTACTAATAAGCTTTATAGGCGCTAATGTAGGTCTTAACATCCTAGCTTATGCTTAGCTAGTAGTACTACTTGCGTAGTAGCTTAGTTATTTTCCTAGTCTTAAGATGTGTAGTAAGTTGCGTTGTGTAAACAGCATAGATAAAGTAGGTTCTTAGAAACTAAACAGCTAGGACTATAAGCTTCCCTTCCTTTAGTAGTAAGCCCTTAGTGTTAAGCTTTTATTATAAGCTAAGATTTTATGCTTTATTATAGTAGTATTATAAGCTTTTATAATTCTAATTAGCATTTAAAATCTAATTAATAAGCTTATATAGTTAATTTATTAGCAGTAGCTTTATAAGCTTTTTATTTAGTAAAGGGGTGCTCTATAAAGCAGTGTATAATTAAGTAACAAGACTAACACTAATCTACTTTTAGCTTAAAAAAGAGTGTGTATAAGTAGCTTTATTTTTTTTTTTTTATATTTTAAGCTTTTTTTACTTTCTTAACAGCGCGTCTGCAATAATGTTAGCAGTGCCTAAGCAGTAGGTTAGTGTAAGGTTAAAGTCTACTATTAGTATAGCCTATTATATCTAGTAAGAGGTAAGCTTACACTTAATAGTAAAGTACTTAAAAGCTTAGTAGTTAGTAATTACTATAAATAGCTTATTTTATTATAGGCTTATTAGCTACGCTTACTACTTTTATAAGCCTTAAATAACTATAAGCATCTTTTTATTATATATGTTATAGTTTATCTGTAGTAGGCTTATAGTCTTAAAGTAGAACGCTACAGGGCGCTAGATGCTGTTGTTCTGCAGCTGCAATAGTACTTCTATAATAACTTTATTACTTATGTTAGTCTCTATACGCGTCTTATAATCTAGTAAGTAGTGTGTAAAGATGTTGTCTAATAGTATAAGGTTTTTAGCGCGCTTAAACACAGCTAACTTATGCTCTTTTAAAGAATGCTAGGCGCTACGCTTAAGCAGCTTTATAAGCAGCTATACAATGTAACTATAGTTCTTAAGAAAGGCGCAGTAGAAGTTGCAGAACCCTAGGAACAACTATAGGCTCTTAATTAAAGTTAGTATAGGCTAGTCTTAGACAGTAGCTACCTTAGTAAGGTCCTTACAAATTCTGTTTATACTAATAATAAAACTTAAGAATTTTATCTTAGTAACTATAAATTTACTCTTTTTAAAGTTAATTTATAGGCTAGTGTTTTACAGACAACATAGAACCTTAGTAACATATGCCTTA